GGCAGCCTTCTTTGATGCATTATAAAATAGATTCAGAAATGTGTATAATGCAGTGTATGAATAATCCGATTGATGTCGGTTATTTGATGCTTGGGGAGTGTGTTTCGTAGTAGATAACTAAGATCTCATGACGGGAAAAGGAAAAGAAAAGAAAAGAAAAATCAGTAGACGCTTCCTCTGATGCTTTGGTCTTCGCGGCGTTGGGCTTCTAGGGTGTCGTGTTCGTCCTCGACTTCGGGGTTCATGGGAGTAGTATCAGTATGGTCATTAGGGTCGTCTGCGTGCTCGTGCTCGGGTTCGTTAGTCTGATTACTGCCTTCGTGGACGTGCTGAGACTGGTCCGCCTGGCAGGTTGCGCATTGCTCGGAGAAATACTCGTCATGGTCTTCGTCGTCGTTGTCGTCATCGTGGTTGTCGGGTTGTTGCTGATGCGGCTGCAGTTGATGTTGGGTGAGGATGTTGGCTACGCGCTTCGCTTGGATGGCTCGACGACCGCTGGAGGTGGTGGAATGATGAGGATGGCGGTGGTAATTGTGAGAACGGGTGCGACGAGGTCGATCGCTCTGTCGGCTGCTGCTCTCGTCGTCGCCGTCGTTGCCGAGATCCTGAGATGGTTTGCGAGAGGGGTCCGGACGATGGCTGTGGTGGTGATGGTGTTGGTGGGGATAGAGGTAATTGGAAGTGGAGGCGGAGCGCGGACGGGCTTCTGGAGCCGACTGGGTGGGTTCATGCTGGTGCTCATGGCTCGGGTGGTGGTGATGGTGGTGGTGGTGGTGGTGGTGGTGCTGATATTCGTGTTTCTCATCCCGCTCGTCCTCAGAGGGCGCAAGGCTGTTCGCTCCGCTCAGGGAGCCTCCGCCGTCACGGCCGACCAGGTGGATGTAAGCGTAGGTGGAGCGGGGTGGGTGAAGGAGGTGGTCTTCGCTGTCGCGATGGAAGTGCCGGAGGTCTGGCCGGCGCGGGACTGGATTTGAGCTGGGGCTGGGGCTGGAGCGGGTTGATGAGGGGAATGGTTGGTCGGATGATTGACTTGTGTCAGTCAAGGCAATGGCTTTGGTTCGTATGGGCAGTGCCTTTTCCAAGGTCGCGCTTGAGACCTCGAGTTCTAGTTGCGTGCCATGGAACTCGTACTTCGGCGAAGGAGCAGGATGTGTCCTCTCTAAAGGGCGAACGTCCCTTGATCGATCTCCAAGTGCTGGCTCGGGGGCTGCGATCATATGTGGTTCTCCATGTGTGGCCGAATCTTTCGAGGTTGTAGTTGGAGAAGCATCGTGGTCAGCTTTAGTCTTGTCGGAGTTGTCCTTGGGATCGCTTGTCTTCCTGGAGACGGGGGATGAAGTGTCCACGTGAAGCTTGGGCTGTTCTGATCCGTGTGCTCGAGCTGAACGCAAGGAGTTTCCTCTTCGAATTCCGTGATTACACCCCTCAGGACAGCCACCCCACTTGCGTCTAACCGGTACCGACGTTGTCTCCGACGGCGTTGCGGGCTGTGCAGGGCTGAGACCTTTCGCTGCACGTTCGTGTTGCCGTTCCAGCTCTTTTTCCTTGCGCAGATCGGACCAAGTCCGGAGCTGATTTTGCAGGACATATTTACCATTGTCTGGATTGAGTTTCAAGATAACGAACTCGCAATGGTTGATGTTCCGTAGATCCTCAAAGTATTCCACGCTCCAATGGTACCATTTCATGAGAAAGACTCTCGTCATCAAGCCATGCGTAACCAGCACGCAGACACTAGCAAAGTCGTCCTCTCCGAACAGGCGCCAAAGCGATTCGTTGAACCCACTGACACGGTCGTAGGCGTCCGCGGCAGACTCACCGTTGGGTATCCGGTAGAAGAAGTGTCCATAATCAGCTCTTTCCAGCCACATTCGTTCCATCTCGGCCGAACAAGGCTGGAAATTGCCAAAGTCCTGCTCGCGCAACCGAGGCTCCTCATAGACCTTAATTGTATGCCGCGGGAACGGGGATGGGGATGGCGAGTCCGAAGTCAAGGACTGAAGAATGCCCTCCGTGGTTTCACGTGTGCGACGATAGGGAGATGTGAAGAAGTGTATCGTGTCATCTGGTCGGAGGAGGGCGCGTAATTTGCTTCCTGCTTCTAGAGCCTGGCGATGTCCTTCCGGGGTCAGTTTAACCCGATGGTCCGGGATGGTCTGATGAATCTCGCGGTTCTTGTTCCCTTCTGATTGAGCATGTCGGATCAAGATGATCATCTGTGAAACAGGTGAGCGACCGAAGTGTGGGATCGCCATCGAGGGGCTGTGATACTTACCCGCGGCTTGCCCATGGTTGTTGTTTTGGCATGCGGTGGTGTGGTGTACAATTGATGTGGGGATACGAGGCGAGGTACAGGACAATCGCAGCAGACTGTAACGGCGGGTAGTGAAACAAAAAAAAAATGCACCAACTGACTGGTCAATTTCCCGAGAATCTCGTGGCTTGCGAATCGATGTAGGTTTGTCTTTCGAGAATCGATCGATGGGAGAATCTAGAAAATGAGTTGTTGAGGAGAACGAGGATTTGCAAATGCGGCGGGACCATTGGAGGAACCTGGGGATTGCCTGATCAAGTTAGCGCAGTCCAGTGATGTCAGTGCCCTGGTTAGTCAGCAACGGCCAGCTCAGGTACAATTCATCATTGTATACTAGAACATGGCCCCAGCTACTAGATATTCTACAGCTTCCTTGGATCTTGGTCTTGATCTTCTCGGAGCTTATGAGAGTGTAAAGCTCACGAAATTATCGATTCTCATGTCTTAGTCATTCAATCAGCAAGCAACTCATTGCTTGATGTCATTTTGATCATCATCATCCTCCTCATACTCCGTACAGGGTTTATCTTTTCTTTTTTAATTGGCGCTTTTTCTATGTATCAGTTGACATTGAGTTCGCGTCAGACTTCGTAGACATTTAGCATCGTAGAATACAGTCATCTTTATTCACCATTGCGTCTGAAAGAATGCCAGAGGTGACTCCATTGAGGGACTATAAATTGCGCGAGGAATCCGAATTTCTTGCTTGCTTGCCCTCTTCCACCCAGATTGCAGGAGCATGATTGTGGTAAGTATTTAATCCCATTCCAGTTCTCTCCCGTTTCCGGGAAGGACGACACTATGTGGGGAACAGTGTGGCAGACAGTCCCTCCATCATGGATACTACACCTATAGTAAGGTATGTATCCTCCCCGCAACAGACTAAGCCTGGGCTGGCCAGTGACCCGCCAAGGCGGCATGCCGTGCCAATCCGTTCCCTCCGTCGCAAACCACTTACAAAGCTGGCCAGTTTCTCCTGTCTAGGTGACTTAGCTTCACTGTTTCAATTTCACAGACTCTCTCACAACTCTCCTTCCTTTCTTCGTCTCTAGGATCGGGTGAAAGCAGTTATGACCGATTATCTTTACGAGCTCCTGGCTCCTCAGCTGGGCCCAACCACCAATGCTCCTTCCGATCTTCGCTCCCCGGAGCACAATCCCACCACAGCCCAATACCTCAATCGTCTACCAACCCTCTCCCTTCAAGCATTACAGACGACAGAGCCTCAATCCTTAACGCAGTCCTCCCACTCGACCCTTTTGTCCCTCCAAGCGCTCTCCAACCGTTCTCACAAAGCCTTCGTGACCTCCGCGGACCATTTGTCCCACCTTCGCACAACTATCCCCCAGTTGACCCGCGACGCCCAAGCACTACGAGATTCAATCCCCAAACTCGACGAGGAAGCAGTTCTATTCTCTTCGAAATATAGCCGAGCAACCGAGAATGTATCCCTCGAGCGACGGAAGAAAGTTATGCAATTGGCAAGAAATGTGGACCGACTCTCGGACATTTTGGAGCTGCCAACCTTGCTTTCTACAGCCGTGTCATCCGCCGCGGCAAGCTCAGGTGGTACAGGGAGCTCGGCCTCGACCACATACTCGACTGCACTGGATCTCTACGCGCACATCAAGAGACTACAGACTTTGTATCCGGATTCCCCTCTCATCAAAGACGTGGTCATGCAGGCCGATGAAGCGATGAAGGACATGACTTCCAATCTACTTGCTGGGCTTCGGATGCAGAACCTGCGGCTAGCCGCGGCAATGAGGACCGTTGGCTGGCTGCGGCGAGTGGCGCCCGAGTTGGAAAACCTATACAATGACGGAGGGGCTACTTCCGGTGAGGGTGCCTTGGGTGCAGTGTTTTTGATCTGTAGACTGGCAAATCTGGTGTCAATGCTGGAAGCCCTGGATCCTTTGCGAGAGTTGGCCGACCAGGAGACGCAGCGCAGACTTCACAAGACCGACAAACAAAACAGTGCGACCGGCACTTGGTCAGATGGTCACCAGACGGAGAAATACTTGAAACGATATATTGAGATTTTCCGCGAACAAAGTTTCGCCATTGTCTCCTTATACAAGAACATTTTCTCGTCCGACCAGTCCGAGTCTGAATTGGCCGTTGCCGGTCTACGTGGAATCGATAGCCGAGTCAAGGCGGTAGCCTCGAAGTCAGCCCGTGCAGAAATCCCCTTTCAACGTCTTCCGTCCGCCTTGGCCACTTTTCCCATGCAGCTGGTCAAATTACTCGCGGATGCGTTGCGCACGTATCTTCCTAATGTTCGCGACAAGAGCTCGCGCGAAAGTCTCTTGACCCAGGTCCTGTATTGTGCAGCCAGCCTTGGCCGACTTGGGGGCGATTTTGGAATGATCCTTACGGAGTTGGGAGACGAGCAGGACGAAGACGAAGACGATGATGATGATGATGATGATGATGATTTAGCCTACGAATGGGAGGAGGTGACACGGAAACACCGAGCCTTGGCAGGGCGGTTGGAGCAGCTGACTGGGGGTGGTACAACCACAGGGCCTTCTTCCAAAGGGAACTTGCGAGTAGCATCGCCAGCTTAGTGAGGGACTGGGGCGACTGAACAGCAGAGTGACAAAGAGCGTACTGTAAGGAAATTGCCAGCAAAGCTGCCAACAAACAAACACACAAACAACACACAAACAAACAAAACCAACAAATCGGCCATTGTCAGTGTCAGTGTCAGTGTCATTAAAGGTGAAGAAGGGATGATGAGCGTCTTTTGTTCCTCAATAAGGGAAGTCAGGACACCCGGGGATCGCTAACCCGATAAGGCATGGCATCCGCCGTCCAACACTGTCTGGACCATCCATCCATCCATCCATCCATCCATCCATCCGTCATCCTCCCTTCCTCGCTTCCTCGCTCCCTCACTCTCCCTCCTCTCTCTTGTCTCCCCCATCCCTTTCGACAACCTTCAGACCACTCTTCCTCATTGACTCTATACGCCTCTTGTCACCTCCGAACCCCCCTGACGCTTCTCTTCGAGACTCCTTCTTTGCGACCGGTGCTGGTTTCCGGTCACTGATCTATCCTTCTCCCCCCCGCGCTGCTGCCGCCGCCGTCGCCGTCTCCGTCTGTTGTGACGTTCTCCCTTGCATACCGTGCCACTGATTATAGCCTCCTGAGCAATGAAAATATTTTTCTTGACTGCGTGAAGAAAGACCATCATTTACAGAAACTTGCGACCTTCATTTCACCACCCCTCCTCCTGTGACCCCGATCCCCGATGGCTGCCCCCGCTCTCTCCACCAGCGGGTTGATCGATCCAACAAAACAAGCCGAGTATCCTATTGTGCTGGGTGACAGGCTCGCTGGCAAGGGCGCATCAGGCTCCCAGCTAGTCAACATTCAATATAACTACAAAACCAAATCTGCGACCGCCCGATCTAAAATCTCTCGATCAAGGCAGTCTCGGGATCGTTACAATCTGACGATCACGGATAAAGCACCAAATGCCGAGCAGAATGTGCTGACCTACACCTATCAAGGCAGTGTAGATCCGGCACAAGCCGCGCTGGAATCTCGTGAACATAATCTTGTCCTGGTATTTGACGCCAATCGGAAAGTGTTCGTACTAGAACCAGTAACGACACAGCTCAACTTTAATCTTCGGTCAGCCCCAGCGAAGTCACACAAGCAGGTCCTTGAACAATATGAGCAACTACGAACGTTGCAGGAGGAAGACCATGGTTCGGGTGACGATCGGGCGTCTGACAATGCCAGTGGTAATGATGACGGCCCGGCGGATGACAACAACCCTTTTGATTTTCGTCATTTTCTTCCAAAGGAGAACGCCGATGACGACAAATCTGCTTCAGATACCAGTGTGGGCAAAGCTGCGACACCATTGATGTCTGCTGTCAAACCCACTCCGAGTCCCAAGCCCGTGCCGGACAAGCAGAAGCAGCGGGAACCACTGCTCCGGAAAAAGGAGCGTGCAGAGGCTGTCAGGCTCCCGAAGTCCACACCGACAAAAGCACCCCCGAAGTCTCCGGCACGAATCGAACGCAAGGGAACCGACCGGAAGGTCGTTAAAGAGGATGACGTGCGGTTGAGCACAGCGAAGCCCCCGCCGGCTGAAACTGGCTTGGGATTGGTCTCGTCCCAGGTAACTGAGCCTTCGCCGGGGTCAAATATCATCATCGACGGTGACTTGATTATCGAAATGGGCTCGCCGCGGCCCTCGAGAATTGACACGACCTACTTCTCCGATACGCACACACCGGCCAGTGATGATCACGAGGAGGAAGATGATGAAGATGTTGACCATCTCCGACTTCCTTCACCAGCCCGCCACGGGAAAGCGCCTGCAGTTCGCGAGCCTGTCTCTGCGCCGCTCGCGGATGAAGATGAGCTGGATGACGATGATGCCCTAGCCGCTGAGATGGAGGCGGCCTTTGAAGAAAGTGCGCGGGAGGAAGAAGAGGCACGTAGCCACCAGTCGCAGCCACCATACTCGTCACATCTGTACCACGCACCTAGTGAGGATGAGAGCGAGGTCAGCGAGGAAGAGTAATACTGTCCCTTTTACGACTCTTGTTTATTAACCTGTATTTCACTCTTGTAACAAGTCTACATGCATGTAAGCAGGGCGCATTGTGGAGTTTACACTGTTTGATGTTTGACATTGAGCCCCAGCCCAGCGGGGGCGGACATTGATGGCAATAGATATAATACCAGCTGTTGCACCGTATTTGAATTGAAAAGTGCCTTGAGGACTGAATGACACAACCTGTCAGTTTTATAGCATATTGGTATATTTGGTATATTTATGACAACTGTAGCACTGAGAAAACCGATTGTGAGAGTAACAAATAATAGTCCGAATGCCGGTTCTACGCGGCGGCCGATCTAGATCGGAACAACTGAATGATCCGGGCCGCATCGTCATTGGGCCAAGTGCAAGTCAAGAAAAACCACCGCTCTAGAAAGGAGCTTGACCGGTTCCTCCGGCAATAATCGACGACACCAACGAGTTTCTCACGATTTACAGCTCAGTCCATCGCACTCAGCCGCTACGAAACTTACCCTTTTTCTTCATAACGCTTACTGTCGCGACTCGTGGACTAACACGCGTGGTGCGACTGGCCTCCCGATTCTCGGCATCCGATGCGATGAAGAGTCACCCGCGGGCCATGGTTGAAACGACTCGATAAACCTCCAGGCGACGAGACAAAGTGGCTCACTGTCGCCAGTGGGCTACATTAAGGGTGCGCCTTCATTTACTGCCCGGCTCCTTCGACAGTTTTCAAGTGGGGTGACTGAAGAACACTCGATCGGAACTTTACCCAAGCCTGCCTTCGCGTGCGGATTCGGGCTCTCGGGGTCGATCTTCTCTCACGTTGTGTACAGTTCTTCCACCTTCGACTCCTTCGGGATAAACTTTGCCCGCACTAGCGTCGCTTTGTGCTTCGAGGGAATTGACCCTTACGGATAAAGCTCATATGCACACGATGGCCTCTCCACGCGGCCACCGTCCGGGTCCCAGGCCTGTTCCTGCGCCTTCGAATACCGTCCTCCTCGCGACCCAAGCTCAGTGGCTCTTCACCGATGAAGAGCTCACACGAACGCCGTCACAGCTCGATGGGATGAAGATGGAGGCGGAAAATACCTCCCGCAGCAAGGGCGTGAATTTCATCTCCCAGGTGGGTATCATGCTCAAGCTGCCGCAACTCACGCTTGCGACGGCCGCCGTCTACCTCCATCGTTTCTTCATGCGATACAGTATGGTCGATCTACCGCAACGACCCGGAATGCACCCCTACCCCATCGCTGCTACGGCACTGTTCCTGGCTACGAAAGTCGATGAAAATGTGCGGAGGATGAAGGAGCTTGTGGTTGCTTGCTGTCGGGTAGCCCAGAAGCAGCCGAATCTGGTGGTTGACGAGCAGTCCAAAGAGTTTTGGAAATGGCGCGACACGATCCTCGTCAACGAGGATACCCTACTGGAGGCGCTGTGCTTCGACCTGCAGCTGGAAGAGCCGTATCGCATCCTTTACGAATTCCTGCTGTTCTTCAACGTGGCCGATAACAAACAGATGCGCAATGCGTCATGGGCCTTTGTCAATGATTCGATGTTTACCGTCCTGTGCCTACAGTTCACCGCTCGCAACATCGCCGCCGCCGCGCTGTACGCCGCTGCCAAGCATTGCGACGTCGGGTTTGAAGACGACGAACTCGGCCGGCCCTGGTGGGAGCAAATCGATGTGGACATCCACGAGGTGCGTCGTACGGTCACAAGAATGGCACAATTATATGAGCACAATGCCTTGCAAAGAAATACGTACTATCTGTCCGCCCCCACCGCGTCAGACGAGGGTGCTGAGAAGACCAGGATCCCGCGCGCGGGCGGTACGACAGAGCCCGCGCCAGGAACAGACCCCGTCAATGGGCGCAAGCGGTCCAGGGAGCCCGAAGAGCAGACTCACGACCGCACCCTGCACGAATCGACTACGTCGCGCGACCACGAGCCAGCTAGACAGAATGGTACACGGTCGCCGAAGCGACAGCGGAGGGAAGCGGAAGGCGTGGTGGCCGAGAGAGGCCCTGCGCATGAATCCTCGACTGTCCTCCACTCTAATGGAGGGCCACCGTCATCCCAAGACCGACACCACGGCAACGGTCACGTTCCTGCGGGACAACTCCCGCCGCCTCACCATCACTCACAATCACGCCATCCGCATCCTCTGCCCCCTGCCCCTCGACCGTTCCCTCGCCGTGATAGCGCCAGCCGGGGAAGTAAGCCGGGGCAACCGGTGGATCCGATCCAGCAACGGATCGACGAGATTGTACAACAGAACATGTCCTCCCACGGGTCTCCGAGCTCTGCTAGATCTGAGCGACGGCCAATAGACCGTCATCGAAGCGACTGGGACGTAGAATCAGACGAGCGCAGGCGACGCCCGTCTGCTGGTGGCAGGAAGCCATCCTACGAAGAGCATTCGAACCACTCCCGTGCACCACCTCCACCTGCTCCTCCACCTCCTCCTCCGCCACCTCCTCCGGAAGAAGCCCGGCCACCGTCACCGGAACCAACGAAAGCTGTTGAAAATGATGATGAGGGCGGAGGGAGTGAGGAGGGCGAGCTTTGATGGGCGGAGCTTTGCTTTTCTTTACTTGTTGCTTTTTTTTTATGAGAACTCATAGATATCTATTATGCGCTGGAAGTTGCTGCACTGTATATAGTGCAACCCTGACGGAACCGGAAGGAACCCCCGCAGTTCGAGCAGAATCGTGGTCTTTGTTTTTTTGTTGGTTCTTCGATGGGCTAGCATTGCTCATTCATTGCTACTTCGCTTGGCTTGGCGCTGTGTTGGTTGTATGGAGAGAGGCGAAGGGATTGAGGATGAGAGGGACATTTTGTACTATACCTTTTGCTTAGACTTGAATCATCTTTTTCGAGTGTTGTATGGGTGGTTCAATTGAGATGGCGGCGCCATATTGATGATTAGAGCATCTCTAAATTGTAGCATGGATCCTGTGCCAGAGCACTGCTCTTGATATCCCTTATTTCGTGCCTATACTCTTAGATCCGGTTACTGATCAAAAGCTCGTTCCGTCGCACTACAGTGCACGTTGTGTTCACGTTGTGTCCATTCTCAGACTTCAAATGGAGGTGCGTTTTATTTCATCGGCAAGCAATAGCTATCTACTGAGTGATTTATGTCTCATCCCAGATCTCAATCTCCTGCACCCCGACCTCCATGGTCCAGTCGCCCCTCCACTCCCTCGCCCGGTACCCTCCTCTCTTCGCAACCACATGCCTCACGCTCATTCTCGATAGATTCTGGTCCAGCACAAACTGCACGCCTTTTCCTGCCTTCCAAAGACTGACTGCTTCGTCTGCTCATCTAGTCGATACCCCGGCCGCGCCACTTCTGACAAATCTCCGCGGAACACATCCTGCACGGGACTCAACTCGAATAACTGACACGATGCTGCCGCACCCTCCATCTCCGCCCAGGGCAGATGGAATCCAGATACCGCTCGCAGTCCGGACTGCGTGCACCGTCCCGCTACCAGGACCACGGTTAGGTCCCCGTCATTGTCTAGGTCGGCTGCCAGCGTCTCTGCCGTTTCGTGTTTCTCGGTGGTGGGGTACGTCTTGCGCAACGCAAGTGCCTCGAACGCCACCGGCTCTGCAAAGATCAAACCCATCTGCGCTAGAATGGGGCGTGTCACAATCTTGCTGGGTGGGGGAGTGACTGGAGGATATCCTCCTGCTGGGCTGGAGGTTGATAGAGCGGGAACAGTGGTGTCTCCAAGCTGGTCAAGAAGAGTGGCTATCCCATAAAAATCAGCATGTATCTTTAACCTCCCTCCGCCCCCCGGCCAAAGCCCATGTTCTCCAAGCCACAAGGTAGAAGCAGGGAATAACTGGTGAGGGCGTCGAGGGTGGTGTCTGGGGTTGGAGGCATTTCGTCCGGCTTTGAATTGGGGAGTTGATTCGAAACTGAGAATGGCGAGAGAGTGTGTGGATAGACAAGATAGAAGAAATTTCAAGGTGGTGATACATGCCTAAAGTCGCGCGCCTGGAGCGAGTTCACTATTCTAATTAGGATCAGGCTCGTTGTTTCTCTGCCATCGTCCGTCAACAATCGCAGCTCCGATCTAGAGCAAGATCCTCTATTTTGTCGGTCCCTGCTTCAAATATCCAGACTAATCATCAGCACGACCATCCTTGCAAGCTCTAGCCCCCCAGCCAACACCGACCCCAAACCCTAACCTGTGCTGATTCGGCCCCCCTGGAATATCAACCACAACAACCAGGATAAAACGAAACAGCCCCCATGCTCAAATTCCCCAGGAGCATTTCTTCCAGGACCACAATGCCCGCATCCTTCATTTCCGTGATTCCGTCTAGACCAACACAGTGTGGTATAAAAAGGCGGACCCCCCCCCCTTTTCCTCAGACCACCTCACATCCCCCACCACCCAAATACCAAAAAGCCATCATCCACTCTTTTATTTCCTCAGAATCCACCGCACTCATTCAACGCCCGGCGAAAGAAACAAAAAGCATGAGACTCATCACCATCGTCTCTCTTCTCGCGGCCACCCTCGCCACGGGGGTGACATCCACCCCGGTCCCGGTCCCGGTCCCCAATGCATCCCCTGACCACGGCGGCTCCATCCAACCCATCAACCTAGGCACCAGATCGGTGCACAACGTCGACGTCCTTCGCAAGCTTCCGGGTCCCAATGCCCGCTCCTGATCCCGATCCATCGCTGGGTATTTCCGAGAGAGACCCATCTACCCATACCAAGGAAGTTGGGACTGGGAAGTGCTGTCACCGCCAACGATCTCGAGGTTTGGGGTGTAGATCATCGCTGAAACGGATGAGGAAAAAAAGGTGGGGGCGTTGGCGGGCAAGACTAAGGAGTATTTATGCGGGGGAGGGTCAGGAGGCAGGCGGCAAGTGTTTAGGGGAAGAAGGGGAACGTTCAAGGGTTTTAGGGTAGGGCTCTGGGGACTTGGGGGCAATGAGAGGGCCAAATCCCTTTTTCAACGGTGTACTGTATTAGATGATGACTGTTTGTTAGTGCTGGTTATCGAAATTGTCGCGCTGGCTATGCGCACCCATCAGAGGCAAGGTCTGTTCGACCAGAAGCATGGCATTGGGGTATATAGGTGTCCCGTGGTTTTAGGGCATAGATGTCGTCTTCTGGCTTTTCTCTTCGTCCATGGTACAGGTCTATAGGTTGCGGATGGAAGATGGGGTGCATGTTTGGGGTTTTTGTTTCTATTCAATCTATCACATCCGTAACGTGCCAGGTGCAATGATTCGAAATACACATATACGCAGACAAAAGAAAAAATATATTAGACATCTGAAGAGGCCTGTCTAATGGGAAAGAGTTTCAACAGTCCCCAGGGCTGTTACAAGTGTGTATAAACTTACCTTTCCATATACCCTTCCACCTCGAATCCACTCTGCCTCCTAACCCAAGCAGTCCAGACCGGTGGTCAACGTCTAGCATCCACCGGTGCATGCGCTGTCCCGTCGCCCGATCGCTGCACAGTAACATGGATCTGACTCGTCCGCCAGATCCCCCGCCGCAAGTCCGCGGCATCCGCCTCTTCACTGTCTTGGTCATGGGGGATAGTGTCCAGCGGCAACTCCGACTCCGACGGGAGACGCTTGGCCCCCGGGGGCTTGAGCTTTGGGGTGGTCGACAGCTTGAAGGCGGATGCGCCGGAATATGGATGCGAGGTGTGGCTCAGGCTGTCGGAGCGGTAGCCTTTCGATTCGAAGGCTTTGCGGAAGAAGGGCCGGAGCGTGGGGATGCAGGCCGCCACGATGACGACGTTCTGCTCGATGCTGTGTATCCAGTCAGACAGGTCAGCTTTCTTTTTGGAGGATTGAGGAACAAAAAACGTACAGGCCCCAGACGACTAGCGGTACTACATTATACACTGAACAGATTCCATGTTAGTCACAAGGATGAACTGACTACTGGCAAGGAGGCCGCAACGTACGTGGATCCGTCCGATCAGTAAACAGATGCAGATAGGTGGCCTTGATGATGGTCACGATCGCCGAGAGCAGCGTCAGCCCCATCATGATGCACACCCCCACCTTGGTCGCGGTTCGCATCTGCAGCTTCCAGAAGACGCGGATGGGCACCACGGCCAGGACGATATCCGTCATGGTGGTGTAGGCGCTGACCCAGTAGGAGAAGTCGTCGAAGACGCTGGCGTCCCAGCATTGGCCCTCGCGGGCGGCGTCCCACAGTTTCTGGGTGGGGCGGCACTGGAAGAAGACGATGAAGACGGAGACCATGGCGAAGACGACCTGCATCGTCACCATGGCGTAGAGACAGCGCGTGCGCAGCGGATTCGGGTCGAGGAGGTGGCTGACGAGGATGGCGATGGAGATGTTGGGGAAGCTGAAGGCGCCTGCATTCAACCGCTGCATCAGTTATCAAGAACTATGACCGGAAGTAAGCGGATGGAATTTGAGGCGTACCGATGTTGAATGCTGCGATCATGTTAACTAGGCATGGAACACCAAGCAAGGACACTCACGGAATGCTATGATCTGCCATTTGGCCGTTTGGACATATCGGTCAGTGCCATGGTCGGCAATCACCGCGGCCGTATGGCGACCGAGCCCTAAGGTGACCGCGTAGGAGACAAATGCCGCCGCGATGATGCTGAGGCCCTGCAGTCCAGTATCCCCCTGGTCAGCGAAAGTCTGTTCGTCTATCCATTCCCCATACTCTACCAACTTGCTAGGTGAATCACCATGGAAAAGAAGATGAAGAAGTCATCCCATCCCAAGCTCTTCGCCACATGTCCTCGAGCAAAAAGCTTCAACGCGACCACGGCAATGGCTGTGCCAGTGAACACCCATGCGACCGCATTGATCTCGCCGGCTCGACTTTGACTGAAATCCACATCCGTGTCGAATGAAGCCATTCAGACTGCCTCGAATGCTGCAATGTTGAAGGCGTCCGCCGGTCAAGTGGCCCAAGCACGAGAGATGGGCCGGTTTTCTCCTCGGTCTCGACGAACAGGCATTGGCGAGATGGGGACCCCCCCGGCAGTTTGGGCCAGAAACGCACGATATAAGGAGGGCAGAAGTTTCCGGGAAAATAACTCCTCTGGCACCAGCGTCATTAGTCGTAATTGTTCGGCGACGCCACGGCCTCTCTAGCGGCCCTCGGTAAGCGTCAGAGGATCGATTCGACGAACGATATTACGATTTAGGAGCATTAGTACCATGGAGCCAAGATGTCACGGCCAGTGTTTTAGGGTTTTCGCGGAGATGGCGGGAAGTGGAGCGGGAACGAGTCTCCATATCTCAGATCTCCGACGTTTCCAGCTTGTTCACTCCTCCACCGTTGAGTTTGAATACAAGCTTGGGCCTTTCGTTGTTGATGGAGGCAATGTGGAACGCGAGATGGTGTGCAATTCGCAGTATCCTCTCTTCAGTGTGGGTAGAATAATATCTCGAGGCAGCAATGGGGCGGGACAAGCCCCGCGTGGCTCGCCGTCGAAGGAGCGCTAACAACGCGTTAACCCTCTTAGTTTGACGGCGGTGCCTTCGCTACTACAAAGTGGCATGACGGACTTCCTACGGAGATGGTCTTAGCAGCATGTCCCAGGAGGCCAGCTGTCTCTAGCAGACGCAGACACCCTTGTCTCGCTCCATGTGCGCATATGCACCTCGGGTTTCGTCCTATCTTATGTCCTGTACGTACAGTACCTACCTGCAGCAGGATCCTTGTCTACCACGGGGACACTGCAGGGATCTTTCGTCCTTCGAGGACTAAGACTTTACTGCATAAGTCTGCCCCTATCACTCAGTTCCTCCGACACAGAAGAGACTGGGGTCGAAGACGGATTGACGACTGCATGAACAAGGCGAAAGCCACCCAGCCTCGTCTCGAGCAAACACACGTGTTGAGATACAGACAGACGGTTTCCATCCACTTCTCCATGGGCTAGAATGTGACTAGCTTGCACTGAACATGGCACCAGTCTATCCTCCGGCTACCCCTCACCGAAAAAAGAAAAGACATATGAAGCCCTGGACGCCCCCATGAGCCCCTCAGTGCGTTTCTCTCTGTATTCCACTCCCACCTTGTCACCAAAATCATGACGAATCCATCTGTTTCCACTATCTTGGAAGACTTGGCCGCAGCAGGCAAGGCCTATAACCAGGCCGAGCCTGGCTCCCGAGAAGCCCTCATTGATCGCAGCCGTGCGCTGGTGGCCGCGCTGGAGATGCCCAGTGAATTTATTCAACGCAGCTTCTGGGCCGAGGTATGAGCATCATCCCAGTATCATTCCCCGTGATCTACTCACCTGCTAATTCACACGCTTGCGACAACGACAGCCCGCCATGTCCGCCGTCATCCGCATCGCCGTGGACGTCCAACTATTCCAGCTACTCCGCGACGCAGGGGAGGCGGGCCTGAGCCCGTCCGAGCTGGCCGACAAGACGGGCGTCGAAGTCGTGCTCCTGCAGCGGTTGACGCGCCACCTGGTGGCGATGTACCTGATCAGCTTCCATGACGGCGCCTTCCACGGCACGGCGCTGAGCGACCAGCTCGCGGCGGACAACTACCAAGACAGCATCTCCTTCTGCTACGACACGGCGCGCCCGTCCTTCAACAACTTCCCCGCCTTCTTCCAGAACACCCACTACCGATCCCCGACCGTGGGGAGTCTGGACGGGCCCTTCCAGCGCGCCCATCACACCGCGCTCCACTTCTTCGACTGGCTGGTGGCCAACCCGCCCAACCTGCCGCACTTCGACTCCTTCATGAGCGCCTACCGCGCCGGCAAGCCCAACTGGTGCGACCCGGGCTTCTACCCCGTCGCCGACCGCCTGATCGCCGGCTTCGAGCCCAGCAGCAGCAGCAGCGACGCCAGCGACGCCGACGACGCCGAAGGCGTTCTCCTCGTCGACGTTGGGGGCGGCCGAGGCCACGACGTAACCATCTTCACGCAGCAATATCCGACGCACCCGGGGCGAGTCATCCTGCAGGACCGCGAGCCCGTGATCGCCGCCTTAGCTCCTGCCACCACCACCACCACCAGCCCGAAACCCACATTCACCGCGCAGGCCCACGACTTCTTCACGCCGCAGCCCATCGCCGGGGCGCGCGCCTACTTCCTGCACTCGATCCTGCACGACTGGGACGACGAGCGCGGGGTGCAGATCCTGCGGAACCTGGTGCCCGCGCTGCGCCGCGGCTACTCGCGGGTGCTGCTGAACGAGATCGTGGTCAGCGAGGAGCGGCCGACGCTCGCGGCCACGAGCATGGATCTGATGATGCTGGCGCACTTCGCCGTGCGCGAGCGCACCGAGCGCGAGTGGCGCGCCATCCTGCTCCGGGCGGGGCTTCGCGTCGTGGAGATCTACACCTACCCCGGGGTGGCGGAGAGTTTGATTGAGGCGGAGTTGGTGGCTTGATGTCTCAGGATCTTGATGCTTTTAGCGTGTTGTTTTTTGTTCTGTGGGCCAGGCACAGAGGTCGGTCGGTCAGTCAGACAGTCAGTCAGACATGGGGGTTGAAGTTAGCTGAGCTGAGCTGTGTGATTCGATTGCAGCGGCAAAGAGCTAAACTAAACCAGCTACAACCTCGTTTCCACGATTCCAACCTCTCTTGACTTTCTATTTTGATAGTTAGATGAGAGATCGTCGGTGAGGACAGTATACTACAGTACAGTACACAGTAACTAACTACAGTCCGGCCGGTCGAAATTCTAGATTCTTTGATTTCTTTAAGATAAATTTATATCTTCTTCCCTCCCTTTCCTTCACTACTGTTGTGACTGGATTGTTCAGATCAAATAACCCGGCGGAGTAGCTCTTTATATCTCCACAACCCCGGTTCGTAGAGTTAAACTGCTCATTGTCTAGTATGGGATAGAGGAATGGGGTCGATGGTTCAGAGCTATACTGTACTATACTATACTAACTATACTACACTACACTACACTACACTACACCCGCTGCAAGCGCACCAGTTCAAATCATGAGATCTATGCTGTGTCTTTTAGTCTCCGGCATTCGATATCAAACTTCCCTCAGACCCTCCTCTCCAACTTGAAAAATAAAAACATGGGAGTCAGTGGAAACCGTCATGATATTCTGCTTTGAATACATGTACAGAACTCAAAGGGGCTGATGTGGGGGGTTGAGGTTGAGGTTGTATTTCCACATGATGCTGGATGCTCCTTGGATGCTGGACAAAAGGGAATGCCAAGCTGATATAGTAGTAGTCGATTCGGTAAACTACTTTCAAGGTTGCTGAAAAGGGCCGTTCAGTGGGGGGAGGAATAATGGTCTGCTGGGCGATGTAGAGGTCACTGCAGGCTACATCATCTACTCAAGCCACGGGAGTCATAACTACGTATCTGCTTGAGCACGCACAGCTGTTGGTATAAAACACTTCACAGGGCGGTTTGGAAGTCAGACTTGTCGGTCATCGGCTTGGCTGCTACCGTTGCTGTAGATTCATTGAGCTATTGTTCGAACTGAAGAATATATCAATCATGAAAGCTATGCAATCTACTAGTCACGCGGGAAAAAAACACTATCTATCCGCTGATCACACCCCAATCGCCTTGTCTAGCAAACTGCTCGGCGCCACGAAACTAAACCCGCCGAACGGATTACTCTCGCCCAGCCCCAGCGAGACCGGCGGCACCGCCGCCTGAGACGCCTTGTAGTGTTCATCAAACCCATGCACAATCGGGCTGAGCGGCAGCTGCGTGAAGTCCACCGAGAAGTTCTCCGCCAGCGCCGGGTCCGTCACCACGGGCACGATGGGCGGAGTCACCTCGCGCCGCTCCAGGGCCTTCCAGTCGATCTTGCGGAAGAAGCGGTGGTTCTTGATCGTCTGCAGATCCTTGGGCATGTGGTACCCCAGCCGCTTGGCGGGTTCCTTGCGGAGGAGGCGCGTCAGCAGGTCCTTGGCGTCCGGGCCCAGGAAGTAGGGCAGGGCCAGTTTCTGCTTGAGGATCTTCTCCTGCAGCTTGGCATTGTTGTTTGCCTTGAAGGGCGGGGATCCCGTGAGCAGATCATAACCCAAGGCGCCGAGGGACCACCAGTCGCAGGCCTTGCCGTAGGATTTGCCCTGGATGACCTCCGGGGCCATGTACTCGATGGTCCCCAGCGACGAGTTGCAGCGGTCGTCATCGCTGACGGCGATCTTGCTCAGCCCGAAATCCGTCAGCAGCAGGTGCCCTTCCTTGTCGAGCAGGCAGTTCTCCGGCTTGAGGTCCCGGTAGATCACCCCGACCGTCTGGTGCAGGTGTTCCAGCGCCAGCACCATCTCCGCCATGTAGAAGGCGGCCGCGTCTTCGTCGAACATGCGCTCCATGGCCAGGTGGTGAAATAGCTCGCCGCCTTCGGCGTACTCCAGGATCAGGTACAGCTTCTCGTGGTCCTGGAACGCGTAGAACAGCTTGACCACGAACGGGTGGCGGTTGACGCTCTCCAGGATCATGCGCTCCGTCTTGGTCTGCTCCACCAGCTTCTTGTGCACGGTGATCGACGCCTTGCGGAACTGCTTTTGTGCATACAGCTTGCCCGTCAGGACGTGGCGCACCAGCAGCACGGTCCCGAAGGATCCCTTGCCCAAGCAGAGCAGCGGCTCGAAATCGTCAGACGCCATCTTGCGACACAGCTGCTGAGTGCGCACATCGCGCCCGTTCGACGCTTCCTGAGACTTTTCCTCAGCTACCGCATCGGCGCTGACGTAGTCATGCTCCAGAGGCACCTCGTAGCTGGTCAGGACTTCCGTCTGGTCACTGTCCGAGCAGACGCTGGCATTGCTAGGCGTCTCCGCGCGGGTCCCCTGGCCGGACAGGCTCATAGAATCCAGCTGCAGTTTCAGGGCGCTCACTCCACAACCGGTGGCAGGTTGGACCAACGGGCTGCTGGGGCCGGTCCCCGTTGGCGCACGGGGACGGGGACGGGAGCTCGGCGCGCGCGAACTGCAGGCCGAGCGGTCCGAGTCCTCATCGCCCGAGCCGCGAGGGGTGAACCCACGCACGGTCGAGATGGCTGGAGCCACCGCGTGAGCAGCGGCCGCCTGCTTTTTCTTCTTCTTGCGACGGTCCGCCTTCCCAGCCAAGAACTTCCCATTCAAATCCGGGGCAGGGAAGGGTTTGGTGCCATTGACCGCCGCGGGAGGCATCATTGCGACCTTCCGCTCAGGACTACGGGCACTGATCCGGAAGCCGGTTTCTTGGCCATCGTTCATGGTAGTGTCCGCACGAGAGTGCGACATGTCGGCCTGCGGGCTGAAAACATCCGCGACCGAAAGGTCATCCGGTGTCATGGTCGCCGAGAAATCCATTTTTTCTCCCACCAAAAAAGGGCGAGGTACAATTTCGCAAGAGGAGACCGATCACATGCACTCATGCATCGACAATTTCAAAGTACGCTCGTCCACGCGGCAACCTAGTAGTGATCTGAACCAAAAATGGTTAGCATCCATCAGGCATAAGTTAGATGCATATACACAAACACGCATACGCGGGGCTAGGTCAAAACCGGTTTTTGCAGGAGACGCAAGGGGATCAGATTGTAAACTCACCCACACACCAATTGTAGATCGAGGATTCAAAGAACACCGCGCGCGCAACTCTTGTGAAGGAGTAGGTGGCTTGGCAGGAGCCCCTCGAAACTAGCACCAAATTACCGTCCGCCCTTATTCAGGACGGACCCTGGACCCTTAGCCAAGTCACCTCGCCAGCAGTGAAATCGGGCGAACGAGTGGATGACACGGCCTGGGTGCCAGCCAGAGTGGAGCGATATCGCGACACCGTAGACACCGTCGAGGGGGAGAAATCGGGGAAAGCGGGGGAATCGGTAGGGCAGCCAGCGGCGGAGCAGCGGAGATGAGCGGACGACAAAAGCGTGGATGGCGCAGACAGGCACATAGAGATACAGCAGGCTAGGTAGCCAACGAGGCAAGTGAGTTGAGTAAGAGATGAAAAGTGAAATAACACACAACGGATGTGTTTCTAGGTTGTGGGGATCAAATAAAATTCCAGATTCCCTTAAAGAGGGGGGAGATTAAAAGGAGGGAAAGGGAAAGGGAAGGGAAATGGAGGGAAAGTGAAATCAGGCTTAGAAGCCTGAGGAAAGCTGACACTGCGAAACAACCAAGGCCGATGATGCCCGCTGAGCCAATCATCAGCCGCCGGGTGCTAAGCGACTCTAGTCTCCTTCGAGCCAGGGCTGCGTCACGTGCTGCTGTCATTGGTCTCAGTTTCAGGCCTCCGTCTTGCCTATTCAGGTAATTTCACTCAGGCATCCCTCCGAATGACACGGCATGTAGTGTATGTCGCATACAAACCCAAAAGTAGGTTACCTATCATACCTATGGCCCATCTGTAACCAAAAGCACAATTCCATATCCAATGAAATCCTAACATGAGGTACAAAGGTACAATACATCCTTCCTACTCAAAAAATGATTGCGACCGAGTAATTTGAACCCCAGATCGTTCTACAAAGGACAACGCGCTGGGCTTCTGGACCAGCACCGTCACTCGCTCATTACCAAACTCCGTCGTCACAATGCGCGCCACGAAAGTGGCCAGCGCCTCGACAGTCTGGAAACTCGTAGCTTCGACCCGCTAACCCACCCCGACATTAGCAAATGTTCCATTCAGAAAAGACACACCGCAGCAATGAGCTCTGCTTACCTCTGCCACAGCCCGCGTCATGGCCTGATAGGTATTGATCACCGTGGACCCCCAGGGCAGTTGACCGGGGCCCTTGAACTCCAACGAGACGATGACCGCCTGCTTCTCGACTCGCTCGTGGGAGTTGACCCCCAGGATACAGTAGCACCGAATGCCATCGATCCGGAACTCCTCCTCCAGCACCACCGGGCACCGCTCGGCCTCCGCCAGGTTGTCCACCGCAGCCGCCCCGTTCCGCTGCCGGTACCCCCAGACGGTCACACTGCGGTATTTGAGTCCTTCCTCCGCGCGGAGCAGCGCCTTGGGCAATTGCAACGAGACCTCGCACTGTCCGAACACCGCGTCAATGGGCGGCGGGGCGGCGGCGGCGGCAGCCGACGGGTTGCCGAAGATGGCCGCCTGGGCCTGCGCCTGGGAGCCCGCCGACGCACTGCTCCGGCGCCGGGTGTCGTGGTGCTGGTGCACATGGGACATCCGCCGAACGCCGGCGGCGGTCTCGTCGAGGAGGCCCAGCCCGCAGTTCGCGACGATCCCTGCCGTCAGCCGCACGTCCTCCCCGAGCGCAGCCCCCAGCATCTCATCCCGTCGGCTGCCGTCGATGCTGACCAGCTGCTGCGCCGATGCATCGCCCGACTTGCCGATGTTGCGGATATCCTCCTCCAGGCGGCGATAGAGCTTTCCGTAGTCCAGTGATAGAGAGACATCGTCGGCGATGGCGGCGGCGACCGCGGAGGAATAGGATAGGTTCAGCGATGCGGAGCAGGGCTGCGGCTTGCTGGGACGGTGCCATGGGTCCGGGGCCGCAGGAAGCGTCAGCTGGATGTTCTGGAGCCGCACGCTGTCGAGGACCGGCGGACGGGGTGGGATATGGACGTTTACGCGTTGGTTAGCCATGATGCTAGCTGATAGTTGTGCAGAGATCAAAGGATGGATGAGGTGGGAGCGAGTGTGAGAAAGAGACGTTGCGAGCTGAGAGGGAAGCTAGCTCGCAGCGGGTGACCGTCGGGAAGATGCTGAAGCTACCGGAATTCGAGGCCCTGCCGTGACGTCAGCCCACAAGACGTCAAAGTGAATTCAAACACTCGAGGAAAGGTAATTTCAGTAAAATTGTCTCGCACCTATTGTTAATTCAGAGAAGACCCTGTCTAGCTCTCGTGTCAATGCGACAGGCGCAGGGGGAGAAACCAGTAGTCGAGTCATTGGCAAAATAAAGTGGTGGGGGCGCCTCCGTCTTAGCGCGGGGAACTTGCTTTGTTGCTTTGTTGCCTTGCTGCCTTGCTGCCTCCCACGTCTTCTCCCCTCCTACTCCTACTCCTACTCCTACTCCTAAGCTCAAGCTCGCTTCCATTGTTTACTAGCCACTCTAGCAACCACTTCCCTTTCCCTTTTCAAACAGTGTTATTATTCAGTAGATCCAATATACACATACATTTGCCCATGAACCCATGGAGGAGAAGTGAAATTCACATCGTTAGATATTACGTCGCAAAGGGTTGAAGGCCATCCAGGGTCGCGTGCTGCTACATCCCTTGGCTGCGCTGAGGTCGACCAAGAGACCAAGTCGCGCGCGGAACTCGAGAGACCAGCCCAGAGCATAGATCGCCGAATCATTGGGTCATCATACCACGTCCGTTAATGATCAGAAGCGCCTTCGTCTCTTCGTTCGTTATTTTCTTCTTTCTTCGCTGCCGTTCGTCCGCGGTGTACACACATCCGCATGGTATTTTCAGCCGTGTCCGGTCCAGGAGTGTAAGGGCAGGTGACCGGAGTCGGATTATTTTGTAGATCAGAGAGAAACAGAGCGCAAAGGAAAGCAGTTCAAGCAGAGCAAAACAGGTCAATCAGAAAGCACAGTGGGTATCCGCCATGCACTTAGTGAAACACAATCAAATGACAGCAAGCGAGCCCCTACCAGTAGCCGCGGCGTTCGTACGGCATGTACTCACCCCGTGGAGGACTCCGGGGACGGGGGTAGGCTCTGGCTTGCATGTAGGGGTCATCGTAGTGCCGGGGTGGAGGTGGCGGACGAACATCATACGGATCCTCATAGGGTCGACGCGGAGGAGGGTAGTCTTCAATCCGCGGGCGAGGTGGCGTCCGGCGTCCGTACCCATCTCGTTCATAGTATTCCCGCCGCATGGGGATAGGAGATCGTTCCCGGTAATGAGCCCGCGGACTATAGCCACGGGGTGCAGGAAATCGGCGGTCGTATTCCTCCATTGGGGGAAAGCTCCGACGAGGGGATCGCGACCGGTAGGGGTCACGGAAAGAACGGTCTTCCGGGGGAAAGCTTTGGATCTGAGGAGAAATGAATAATGTGAACTGGATGTGGATCTGTCAAGAGTCCTTACATCGGCGATACATGTCACACGAGATCCCTTGAACTCGCGCTGGTCGAGCTTCTCGACGGCAGTTTTCAAGTCGTTGGCGGTCTCAAACTCAACGAACCTTTGTTCATAGTGTTAACGGTAATCCAACGGGGCGTCCAGGGGAAAGAGAATGCGACGCACCCTCTGCCAAGCTCACGGCCGGTCTCGGAGTATACCACATCAAGGCCAGACTGGCGGGCAAAGTCTTTCAGATCCTAGAGTACGAATTGGTGAGTTCATTTCCCGGTGAAGCAAGTCTGATATCCGGTAGGTCCATGTGGTTGAGAGCAGAACGATGAGGCGCCAGTCGCAAAGGGTCTCAAAAGAAAGACCAAAAATCAAGATCCAAGGCAGGGTAGTCCAAAAGGGGCATAAGGTTCTCCTTCCAGGCTGAGGTCGTCCAGTCTTCAACCTAGCTCGTTGGAGAGCCTAGGTTGCTCCTCGAGTAATGCGTGTAGCTCCCAAAATATCGCTCGCAGTCGGCACATATCCAAAACCGGGGCAGGCTCGGAATATGCAGACAAAATGTGTAGGTAATGGGTAAAAGGCAAAAAGAAATAGGTAGAGATGTCAAGGAACGCTGATGAGCCGGGCTTCAAGGCGTCCGTTTGTTCCTAGGGAAAGGGGACTTGGGCTGCTAACCTGCCAACTTGTTTCCGGGAGTCCAGAAAGTAACATGCGAAAGATCGTGCGGCGGGGGCGAGGCATGTTGGGGCGGTCCATCGGGCCAGGGAAGTTTTCCTTGCGGCGCGGGCCACGGGCAAATTGCACGGTGAGTCGCTCGCCCTTGAAATCGCTGCCATCTGTGGGTTTGCAAGCGTCAATTGGTAGCCCTGGAGAGGAGTCTGACAGTATCACGTACGAAAAGCTAAAGGAAGAGTAATTGTTAGTCAATGGCAAGTGACGTGGCTTACGCTGGCCAGGGAAATGAGGGCTCACCGGGAACAACATCTCGAGCATCCATCGCGTCTTCGTACTCGATGAAGCCGAAGCCATTCATCAATTTGATCTCTGTGATCTTTCCGGAACCATGGGTGCTGAAATGCTCCTCGATATCCTGCTTAGTTACTGAATTAGGACTGCGACGCCCACAAGGGCGCCGCATTCAAAGGTCAGCTCATTGCGGAAAACAAAACACGTAAATGGGTCCAAGAAAAGTAAATTGAGAATCCTCCCCTGCAGTGTCCGGGTTCGAGGGAACCCTGCGCAGAGTGGGGAGGAGCGCGCGCAGGTCTGGTTCCTGGCTAACAACCCCAACAGATAGGATCTGAAAGCAGGAAAGAGATGCAATGGCCCACTGAACCAACGTCACTTGAGGGACTGGAAAGACATCCATCCAGAACACATGGCAATCCAGTGGACATCCTGTTACTGTGGCGCAGGTGGGCTGGAACAGATTTGAAAGGAAGAAATCCATATCGGATGGAAAGGAGACCTTGAAGAACGGATAGATGGCTGCATACCATTGCGGGGAAGGTTCCCGAGATAAAGTCGGGTGGACGAGACTTCAGTCATGGCTGGAACTCAGAAAGCAAACAAAGCAAGTCGCGGGATAATCCAATCGGCAAGGGGAGATTAACGTGTGGCCTCGGAAGTTCTTCCAGTTGGTGATCTGGGGGAATAAGCCACAGATGAGGATGATGGCCTGGTTATTGTTCTCTCCAACGGTGTGTACTCCAGCTGGCTTAGTTGCGACAGAAACGGTAGCTCGAGATAGTTCGGTTTTCCTGGCAGTCCGGGAGCCGGGGAATAGACAGTCGAGATATTCCGGATGAGTTTAGTAGACCTGGTGATAGGTAAATAAAGAGACACCACCAGCTTGGAGCTGAGAGTGGTGTGCGTGCGTGCGTGTGTGTGTTTGGCTACCGTTGGCGAGTTATCGCAGTCGAGGGAAAGGAGAGGAGGGGGCCGGGGGCGGAGGGGTCAGTCCAGGTAAATTGTTGTCAGACTGTTTATTATGTCGGATAATCTGATAGATGAATGGATAGGGGGGTTACGGAGGAAGGAAGGACGGTGACAGGTGACAAAAGTTCGAGAAGCTAGAAGGGAGAATAAGGAAGAGTTAATGGAAAGAAAAGACAAGAGAGAAAGAAGAAGAGAAAGAGGAGAAGAGAAGAACAGGAAAGGAATCGAGTGAGCGAGCGATCGTCACGGCGCGAAAAGAGGAGAAAGCAAAGAGGCGGCGGCGGCGGCAGAGCAGAGCAGAGCAGAGTTGCGGGCGGGACTGCGACTGCGACTGCGAGCTTGACCGCCAGGGCAATTGTTTCGGACCACTGGCGGTGGAGGGCATCCAATGGCGGACGACCTTCCCGGATCGCCTCACTCTGCGGTTCCACGTGGCCCCGCCTTGTCCAGTTCCTGACTTTTGCCTTCGGAGAGGATGTTATGATAGCTACGGAGTAGTGGAGGGGGAATAAATGGACGATACCGGTTGAGGTAGAGCAAAAGGGCGCCAGAGGACTTATATAGGAATGCTGAGCTCGCCGTATGGCTTCCATAGTTGACCGTGTTCTTGGCTTGAATACAAAATGCAAATGTATATATTCCCGTGACTCTGGCCCAGTGTGCCACCTGCGAGGCTCCCCCCACACTATACCAAGAACACATTTTTGCCGTGTAGCCTCATCTATAGTGCTGCTATGGAGCCGCAGAAAAAGCTAGTGATAGATACACCTGCAGATACATGTACCGGTACCTATATGGTAAGCAAACTCGATACATTTCGATGTATGCGATGATACTTCAATGGTATAACACAACTGATAACAATGAAGTAGGGGGTCCATGACCCTATTGACCAAGCTTCCATGAAATTTGAAGGCTCAATGAGCTACCGAGTTTGCTGCTAAGCGAAAATCGTTGGAGATGCTGTACGCATAGTATTGCAACAGTAATGATATAGACTCTTCAGCCACGCTGCCTCGTCTCCGTAGTCCCGAACTATACGCTTTGGATGAATCAACAAGCAGCGAGCATAGCCCTTCGTGTCGGCAGTGTCTGCAGATCTTGAGCACAAACCCTTGCGGAATGCACTCCTCCATTTCCCAAATGATTAATTTGTGATGTATAACACCCTCAGCAAACAACATGCACTCTACAGATCAACCCAGCTGAACCGCGGCTGGCAAAGCGGATGATCCGCGCAAAATTCCAGCTAGGCCATACAGGGACTAGTGTCTTGGCAATTTGCCCCATGGCTGGAGGTACGACTGTCAAATACGAGTACTTCTGTAGATTAATGCTTAGGAATGAGGCAAATTCACCGAGTCTTGACGCCGAAAGCCGTATGTACATGGTTCCATATCATATGATCAATCCCGCTGCTTTTGCTACAATACATTGGATATGCCTAATCAGGTCATAAAATACTTCGGTCCCTCGCCACCCTGAGGTGTCTGCCAGTTGATATCCTGAGTGGGTACCTTGATATCGCAAGTCTTGCAATGGATGCAGCTGTGTATGGTTAATATTCTGTCTATAAGGGGAAATATGATGGAAGAGCTTACTTCTGAGCATTGATCTGGAAGCGAACACCATGCTGCTTGCTGGAGTCCTCCACATACTCATATACACCGGCCGGGCAGAACCGGTTCTCGACACCCTGGTACTTGGGCCAGGCAACATCCGTATGCTTGTCCCAGTCCTCCACTTGCAAGTGGACGGGCTGGTCCTCCTCGTGGTTGGTTCCGGTCCGGCTGACGCTGGTGAGAATATCGAAGCTGATCACGCCGTCCGGCTTGGGGTACTCAATCTTGTTGCACTGGGAGGCCAGCTTCGTGGCCGCGGCGTCGGTGGTGTGGTGTTTGAGCGTCCAGGGAGTCCGTCCCTTGAGAATGTACGCCTCGAGGCCAGAGTACAGGATTCCACCATAGAGACCAAGGGGCGTGCTGAAAGAGGGCCGCATGTTGCGAACCTCGTACAGCTCCTTCCAGATCGACGATTTGCGCAAAGCCTCCTCATAGTCGAAGAGGAATACACTGCCGTCAGGGTTACCCTGCAGAGCTGCAAAGGTGGATTCGGCAGCCAACATGGCAGACTTCATCGCGGTATGGGTTCCCTTGATCTTGGGAACGTTCAGGAATCCGGCGCTGTCGCCAATCAAGGCGCCACCGGGGAAAGCGCACTTCGGGATGGACTGGAAGCCACCCTCGTTAAGGGCTCTCGCACCATACGAGATGCACTTGCCACCCTCCAAGACTTCCTTAAAGAGAGGGTGGTGCTTGAGTTTCTGGAACTCACCGTAGGGCGACAACCAGGGATTCGGGTAATCCAGGCCCACGACCAAGCCAATGCTGACCATGTTGTCGCCGAAGTGGTACATCCAGGCTCCACCGTAGGTATCCGACGGAAGAGGATATCCCATGGAATGCGTGATTTCACCTGACTTGAACTTCTCGGGCTGGATCTCCCAAATCTCCTTAAGACCAATACCATAGGTCTGCGGTTGGCTATCGCGACGAAGGTCGAACTTCTTAGCCACTTGCTTGGTCAAGCTTCCATGACAGCCCTCGGCCAGCAAGGTGACCCGCGCATGGAACTCCATACCCCGCTCAAAACTATCCTTCGCTTTGCCGTCGCGACCGATGCCAAGATCGTTGGTTGCGACACCAAGAACGGAGCCATCCGACTTGTAAACCACCTCACTGGCTGCGAATCCAGGATAAATCTCGACACCAAGTTCTTCCGCCCGCTCTCCTAGCCACTTGGTGAGCTCGTTCAAACTAATAATGTAGTTGCCGTGGTTGTTCATCTGTGGTGGCGCGGGGATCGGGAAGGACGAGTTCTGAGTCAGGAAGCGCATCTTATCCGCCTTCGCAGGGGTCGCCCCCTCGAAGCGGGATGGGTTGTCCTCCGCAAGCCAGTCGGGCAGGAGTTCGTTCAACGCCGTTGGCTCGAGTACGTTGCCGGACAGGACGTGGGCGCCAAGTTCGCCGGCCTTTTCCAACAGAATGACGCGGAACTCCTCGTTGCCGGCTTCATTGGCTAATTGTTTCAATCGAATAGCTGCAGCGAGACCAGCGGGACCTATTTCAAGCGGCAAACGATAACGGTCAGTCACTTTACATTCTTCCACTTGCGCGATGCATTCCCCTCGCGCGACCGAGTCTATGCGGAGTCCCTACCGCCACCGACAATACAAACATCCACCTCATCCGATTCTCTGTCCAGCTGACGGGGATCGAAATTGCCATCGGCATCGGTCAATCTTCGCGTTACCGATTGTGAAAATGCGCGTGTCTGAATGGGAGTGAACAGCGACCGTGGTCGAATGGCTTTACGGTAGGAGGCTGGCGAGGAGCGGTTTGAGGGCCGTGCAGAGGTTGCGAGTGACGACAACGAGGCGGAAGCCTTGGGGAGGCGCAGGGAAGAGGGTCGCAACTCGCGCCTCAACAACGGCAGAACCGCGCCTTTGGAGGCCATTGTTTAGGCGATTAGGCGAAGAAGATGTGATTAAGACTGAAGGGGAAGGAGATAGGAGTGGGGACGAAGGTCACAGTAGGGCTGGGAGTTGCGAATCCTATACTGAGAACAAATGCATCATAGACGGCGAATAGATCGCGACAGTAGAAGGTAGAGAGGGTATCGTCAACAAGAGTATTTTAGCCCTGTGAAATCGCAGTAGTAGCAGTAACAAACTACTAGAATCAGAGGAGTCACTTCTCCGACCGGCCAGATTGAAGCACTGATCCAATGGAGGAAGGAGTGTGACTAAGAGGATGAAAGAGAGGGGGGAAAAAGATGGATTCAGGTTGAAATTTTGGTGGTCGGCCCGAGGTAACGGCGGCCAATGGAAAAGCGGATAATGTGAATCAACTCGCCCTCAATACTAACTACTAGGTATCCTACTAGGTAAAAACTACGGTACTTCCGCTCATACAGCCGTGAATCCCGTCGGGACATGCGCAAGGGCAACAACAGTCACTCCAGGCTGCAGTTAGTGCTGTCGGTACAATAGGTACTCGGTGTCTTGCCATCCGATGGACCCTGAGTCTCTGACCGACCTCGAAGCTGCTTTTTGCATATACGTCGTGATGACCGAATGGTTCGCGCCGCCGATCTTGAGTAATGAGTCCATGACACTTCCAGTTGGTCCAAATGTCACCTTGCCGGAGATAGCCGTGGCAACCAGGTGCAGTCTGTGGCAGGTACTTAGTCAGACCTGGCCTTCAAATATCACATGAAGGCAACCAAAAGTCGAGCAGATTCAAATAAATCCCAGAGATACCGAGAAGATAACCAAGCCCCGATGACGACACGCGATCGAGATGTCATGGACGATTTCCGGTTGCCTGCCCGGCCTTATACTACTCAGTATACTCTGACACCCATGTGATGAATAACTTACCGGCTGACAAAGATCTTGACACTCTGTGAGTGTGGCGATGCAGCAACAACTGAAAACCCACCGAATAAACACTCAGTAAATAAGCATAGAATGCACAACGATGTGGCACAACGCGTCTCTAGTCATGTGGTCCATGTACTATACATGCATGTACAATATTCGTCTCCCCATCTACGGATTATTATACATAGTACGAAGTATCGTACTTCGTCCTCTTCATCTAATGCCGTGTACCGAACACACCGAGTATTGAATCCTCGTGGCAACAGTTGAGTGATGATAAAAACCTACTGTGTACTGTGTACTATTCTTTGCGATAGAGGCTTGGAAAAGGACACTTGGCCGGATTACGTAGGCCGGCGCAGAGACGGAAGGCATGCAGCATAGCCAGTCAGGAGGGTTGAGCGATAAGCTTGAGGGCTGGTTCAGTGCTGATACTGGTCATGTCTGAGATTAAGATCGATAAGGGACATAAATGAAGGTTTCCCAGCCCAAAGTGACCAGTGCATCAAGGCTGCAAGTTGACCGAATACCGATCGAGCTGGTGGATCACAGTTTGGTGGTCTGAGATCCGGGGTAGATTAAGAAGGTCAAGCAGGGATTGAACTTGGAAGTACGGAGTACCGTATCTACTGCTCATAGGAGCAAGAAAGTACCATCGGCTGGAGCCTTGCCCTTGAGGCTTGTTGGAGGCGGCAGGCAACGCCAAATGAAAAGGGAGGACGCGTCCAGTCCACCGACCCCATGACGCGACCGGCTTGAAACCCTTTCCAAATTTTTTTCTGTCGCGGTCGGCCCAGCATCTTTTCCAGCCGGTTGATCCATCCTCCATCCCCCATCCTCCATCATTCTGTATTTTGATCCCTTTCGATCATAGCGACTCTCAGAACGCAAAATGTGATTGAATGTTAGTCGCAAGATGATTTCAGATCAGAAGCATCATATTCAATCGAGAATCCTTTTTTTGGGGCCGCGATCAAGGCAGCGCTGAGGCCCCAAACAAGCTCATGGAAAGGAAGAGAAACCGGGCCAAGAGAGCAAAAAATTTTTTTTTCTTTTTTCTTTTTTTTTCTTTTTTTCATCCTCCATCTTTGCTTTTGTTGAGGGTTGGCTAACTTACCAGTTGCTAAAGCGGCAGGACCGTGATGGCGGGCAGACGCGTTAGTCTACCTCGCTATCTCCCTAGTCGCCGAGAACAGCAATCCGGCATGATTGGAAGGAAACGGAATGGATGGACTTTGCAAAAGTGGATCGCAGGAGGAACGCGGACTGGTTCAAATCGAGTGGCTGCAACCATGGCGCCGGTCGGGAAAAAAGAGTAAGGGGGGCGACAGCCAACGAGAACAGGTGCACGCCAGTGGAACTCCCAGACAATGTGTTTACCGTGGGTCGACCGATCAACAAACCAGCGCTTGTGCTTGGGGGTTCTTGGGGGTTCTTGGGGGTTCTTGGGGGTTTTGGGGGGGTCTTGGGGGGAGGTCTTTGCTTGGGAAGTGCGAAGTGGGCGGCGTTGGCCACCCTCCAAGAGCCGCTAGTGGAGCGTTAGGTCCATAGAAAAACACTGAAAACACTAAAAACACTGAAAAATATTTGTGCTAAACCAGCCAAATGAGCCATACCCATGGGTGACCGTCGCTGCTTTTGCCGCCTTTCGCCGCCGGGCCCAGCCCCCCCTGACGCCAGCTCCCCTTCTTTCCCTACCTTTCCCTTCATCACCCACCCACCTCCCCCCCCCCCGGCGGCTGTGAGTCAGCCTATATAAAGGCCCAACCTCCCACTTTCCTGACTCTGTTGGAATTTTTGATTCTGGTCTTGGCACCGCCCGGAAAGCCATACACACTCTTCCCGCCCGATATCCTCCCCCCCCTTCCTATACCCCCTATCCTCTCCACTCGTACAGTTCACAGAGCCGCTAAATTTTTAGCTGTCTCTACTGCTTTTCGCGCTGGTCTAAGATTCCCCGGGAAGAAGTTCTTAGGAAGCCAAGAATTGGAAAAAGGTTGAAGAAGGTATATTTTTTTATACCTCTCCCTCTTTCCTTTTTCTTATCTTACTACTACACTGTTTCAGATTCAGTTACTGAAACAGGAAGGTTGCAACCTCAGGTTCGCATCTTCGTCGCTCTCTCTCTCTCTTTCTTCACATCCACGCGCACCTTCTCTCCAAACGCAGATAGACATCACCAATTCCAAAAGAGGAAAAAAAAAGTTTTGATCATATCACGTGCATCGCACTGTCTTGACACTCCCTATTCACTCTGTGCTTGTTACTTCACTTCTGCAATAACTGCAGAGGCTGCGTCGAGTTGTTCCCTGCTCCCTAGAAAACACTTGGTTGTGCTTTTCTAGTCCTCATCCTCACCGTCCTCTCTCCCATCCTCCATCTGGGCTTCGTGGTACTACTCGATCATCACTCAGTCAGGCTCTTGTCATCTTGACTTGACTTGACTTGATTTGACTTGTGGGTTCTTGTTGGTTTTATCTCTGGCACTCTACCTCGGACCTCATTCCGTTTTATTCTCTTGAAACGGTTCGTCGATTGTGGGCAGTGTTGCTGTAGGGGAGACATTGATTTGTTCATCTCCCACAAAAGGGTACGTGACTCTTTCGTCGCCGTTGGGTGTTTTTTTTTTTCGCCACCCGACCGCCTTTTTCCTGTCACCTTCGCAACCATCTCACTATCCAACCACCACCACCACCACCTTACCACTTCCCTGGCCTTGTCTGTCTCCCTGGACTGACTGAGAATATTTGGTGCAGACTGTCATCCGAAAGCTCTCATCACTTCTTCAGCGTCGGCTGGTCTACGGCTCGAGTATCTTGACTCTCGTCCGCGATGGATTCTCTCACAACTCATCCGGCCACTGCGCAGCAGGCCCGGGCCTTCACTTCTCCTGCCTCTCTGTCCTTTCCCGGTGGTGCTGGTGATCTCACGCCACCTTCCGAAAAAGACGCACACATGGCAATGGCTCAAGGTGCCAACGGAGTTTTGAACGGTCAGCAGCAGGGAGCAAATGCCTCGAATGGCAATGGGGTGGCGCCCGCAACTCCCGCTGCTACTCCTGGTGCCAACGCGCCAGGAAGCGGCATTGTGCCTACGTTGCAGTGAGTATACTCTTACTGTTCTCGTTCTTCTGGTTTACCAGGTTGCTGAACAAGACTTTTTTCTATCTTCAAAGAAACATTGTCGCCACGGTCAACCTTGACTGTCGCCTGGACCTGAAGACGATCGCGCTCCACGCAAGAAATGCGGAGTACAACCCAAAGGTATTACTTTCCACATCCTCCTGAGCTTGGCACGTCAGGGGACATTGTGGCTGAACTGGTCTTTTTTTCTCTTCCCATAGCGTTTCGCGGCCGTGATCATGCGTATCCGAGAGCCGAAGACGACTGCTTTGATCTTCGCCTCCGGCAAGATGGTGGTAACTGGTGCCAAGTCGGAAGATGATTCTAAGCTGGCGTCCAGAAAATACGCCCGTATCATTCAGAAGCTCGGCTTCAACGCCAAGTTTACGGATTTCAAAATCCAGAACATCGTCGGTTCCTGCGACATCAAGTTCCCGATCCGCCTGGAGGGCTTGGCTAGTCGCCACCACAACTTCAGTTCTTACGAACCCGAACTGTTCCCTGGTCTCATCTATCGCATGATGAAGCCCAAGATCGTGCTCCTGATTTTCGTCAGTGGCAAGATTGTCCTCACCGGTGCTAAAGTCCGTGAGGAGATCTATCAGGCTTTCGAGCTGATCTATCCTGTGCTTTCGGGTATGCACTACTACATTCTTTCGTCTCTGATGACGAGGTGACACATTCACTAACATGCGTAAAAAGATTTCCGTAAAGTTTAAAAACGGCCTTTCGGCTCGAACCAGGAAGATCACGCCGTCGCCATTCTTCCACCTTTCATCGATCTGTATTAACAAAACCTTTTTTTTTTTTTTTTTCGTCGACTCGCTGTGGTCGCTTCCGACACATCGCCCGTCGATCGATCAGACGTGGTTTCTCTTGTTTCTTTGCGCACGTCACGATTCCTCATGCTAGCATTTGTACGGCGTTCTAGCGACTCGTTTCTTGCTACCTGGTTGTCTCTTTTATCAAACACAAATCGTCTTACCATCTTAGATAGTCGCACACCGCAGATCAAGGGGGCGGTACTGTGCGCTGGTCGAATGGTTGCCTCCTTCTAATTACTGGTTTTTCTGTTCTTCGCCTCCGGGCAGTGTCTCATTCATTGGTCCTTTCCAGTGACGTGATGCTTCCAACCTCTGATTGCCTTTTGCTCAATCGGATGGTTCTTCACCAACACCGCAGCACCAAAAAGACGGAAAAAAATTCTTTATTGTTTTAGATCTTACGGAATGTTATGAAAGCGGATGATTGTACCGGGAGATTGAGAACTTCGGGGCTATGCCTAGGTTTATGGCTGGCATAATTACGGACTCCTGGTTGCTATACAAAATAAAAGGACTAAAAAAAACTTCCAACAAATGTACTTCTTTTGTCCAAAGTAATGCGCATTTCGTAGTTTTGTATGCATGATTTGTGAAAGGTCTCGGCGTAATCACATGTTGAGTGCAGCAGTTGCCGGCTTTGCGGGGAAGCCGTTGGCCGCCTCGTTCGGCATGGTCCAACCCGAGCGTCATTTCCACAATCCAGCCTCGCCGTTATCTATGGCATAGTATCAATCAGTATACCGGCTCTGTCTTTCCACGTTGGATATATGTTACAACAAATGGTGTGCATAGCGAGCTAGCCATCCGGAATTCGAAGTATGTTGTTATTCAATCTCCCAAGTTATCCCTCGCAATGCCGAAGGCTTGTTCCTGTCGGTCATCTCGGGGCAAAAATGATGCGAGTCATCATATGAAAGGAGAATTCTCTCCCTGTTTGGACTCATGATCAACAATTTACAGGCCAGTATTAATCGCTTCCTTCCTTCACGAGCAAATTCGAGATGGCCGAAATCGTCGCTCTCGCATTCGAGCACTCCCCGTCCGGCCTCGGGATCCAGCATGACGCGCCCCGTCTCTCGTGGAAGCCTACTTGTTCGAACAAGAGCATTCGCAATTGGGTCCAAACCGCATACGAGATTGCCTTGAAAGCACCGGAATGCCATCCGGAGGACGAAGGACAGATCTATCGAGTGGACAGCCCCCAGTCGACGTGGGTGCCATGGCCGGGCCCTCCGCTGCGCTCACGCGAACGTAAGCTGATTCGCGTGCGCGCTCACGGCACCTGGACGGAAACGACAGGAGATCATGGTCTAGAAGCCAAAGAGCATGCTGGCTGCACTGCGTGGTCGGCATGGAGCCGGGTGGAGTGTGCTTTGCTCAGCCAGCAGGACTGGGCCGCCGTCCCGATGGTTCACCCGGCGATCGGAGGCGAGCAGACTCTCAGACCGGTCGTGTTCCGGAAGACCTTCGAGCTCCCTGCCGATTTTGGGGCCGTGGAGCAAGCGAGACTCTACGTGACAGCGCTGGGGATGTATCGGGTCTATCTGAATGGGAAGCGGGTGGGGGACGACGAGTTGGCCCCGGGCTGGACGAGCTACCCCCATCGTATGGCGTACCGGACTCATGATGTCTCTGCCGGGATCGCGGCTCGCAATGTGCTGGGAGTGGAGGTGGCCGAGGGGTGGTATGCAGGCCGCCTGGGGTTCAACGGTGGCAGGCGGTGCCTCTACGGCGACCAGATCGGTGCGCTCGTTCAATTGGAGATCGTTGGCGCCCGGAAGGATCACTTGTTGCAGGTCGTGTCGGACAGCAGTTGGAAATGCAACTTCAGCCCCCTCGTGCGCAGTGAGATCTATGATGGCGAGCTGTACGACATGCGCGAGGAGCTGGGGGACTGGCACGGCGACCCCGACTACCAGGAGATGACGACGACGACGGCGGCGGCGGCTTGGAAGCCGGTCGTGACGCTGGCTTTGCCAGAGGCATCCTTGGTTGTCCCTCGAGCGCCCGCTGTCCGGGTTACACAGCAGGTTACAGCGCAGCGCTTGTTTACCACCCCTTCCGGGCGTTTGATTCTCGATTTCGGTCAGAATCTGGTGGGTAAACTTCATGTGCGGGAATTGGGACTGTCCGCCAATGCTGAGGTGAGGTTCACGCACGCAGAGGTGTTGGAGAATGGAGAGTTGGGCATACGACCGCTGCGTCAAGCCAAATGCACCGACATGATCATATCCTCCGGAGCGATCCTCAGGGATTGGTCCCCGAACTTTACCTTTCATGGATTCCGCTTCGTGCAGGTAGATGGATGGGACCCCCGGTTCTCATCGCTCTCTTGGCAGGAGAATATCACCGCATTAGTCTTGCACACAGACTTTGCTCCGACGGGGGATTTTGAGTGCTCGAATGATACGATCAACCAGCTGCATCGCAACGCTCGGTGGAGCATGCGAGGCAACTTTGTGTCCATCCCAACTGATTGCCCCCAACGGGACGAGCGGCTGGGCTGGACTGGTGATATCCAGGTCTTCAGCCCGTCGGCAACCTTCTTGTATAACTGCGAAGGGATGCTGGCCGACTGGATGGAGGACGTAGCTGCAGAGCAGCATGACGATGGAGGAGTGCCTCCACTAGTCGTGCCGAATGTGCTTCAGCACGTCTGGCCCCCGATGCCGCAGGCTGTCTGGGACGATGTGGTGATCATTCTGCCGTGGAATCTGTACCAGGCCTCGGGTGATGTGGAAATCCTCCGGCGACAGTATCCCAGTATGAAGGCATGGCTGGACCAGGGGGTTCGTCGGGGCGACGATGGGCTGTGGGATCCGGACCACTGGCAGCTCGGAGACTGGCTGGATCCTCAGGCTCCTTCAGACGAGCCAGGAGATGGGCGGACTAGCGGCGTGCTCGTGGCAGATGCCTACTTGGTGCGCGTCACCAGAACCCTGGCACAGATCAGTCGGCTTCTCGGGCATGAAGCCGACTTTATCCACTACCAGCAAGCATCCGACCGACACCTCCAAGCCTTCCATGCCAAGTATGTGACTCCGAGCGGGTTAGTCGCCGGCGACTCCCAAACAGCATATGCTTTGGTCATCGTCTTTGGCTTGGTAGATTCCGAAACCCAACGCACAACCATCAGCCGCCAGCTGTCGCGCCTGGTGCGTATGGCCAAATTCCGCGTGGCCACGGGGTTTGCCGGCACCCCCATCATCCTCCAGGCCCTCAGTGACAGCAACAATCTGAGCCTAGCTTACCGGATGCTACTCGAGGATAAGTGTCCATCGTGGCTTTATCCTATCATGCAGGGGGCCACAACCATCTGGGAACGATGGGATAGCCTGTTGCCGGATGGGTCGATCAACCCCGGCGAGATGACCAGCTTTAATCACTATGCTTTGGGGTCTGTTGTTCAGTGGCTGCATGAGACCGTCGGGGGCTTGGTCCCGCGCGAGCCCGGGTGGAAGGCTGTCCTTGTGTCTCCTCAACCGGGGGGGCCTTTAACCCACGCGGCGGTTTCGCATGACTGCCCGTATGGGCGCTGGTTCTGTCGATGGGAGTTGAGCCCTTCGCAGGATGAGGATCGCGTGAAGGTGCTCGCGGTCGAGCTCGACGTGCCCCTGAATGCAACGGCCATCGTTCGACTGGGCTCTGAGACGGGGGAACAAAAGGTCGGGTCCGGGCATTATCGGTTCCAGGTCCCTTTCGTCCCTCAGCCCTATCCGCCTGAGGCTATTGCTCCATTTATCACTAACCCTGGTCAGGGTCTCTGACCTCCATCGGCCCATTGTCTGTCGTGACTAGTGATCTGGAACGAGACTAGCAGAATGTTCAAAGCAAACACTCCCAGCGAATCCTATGCACTGATTCCCAGCAATATGTTAAGGTCTGCCTACTTGTCGCATGCTGGATCCGTCCTCGGCGTCTACATCGCTAAAGAGAATCTACTCTAACACAGGATCTCTAAATCTATGTATTGAAACAACACAACTCCGCTCAGAAGAACCACTATAGATACATATAGTACATGCAAATCTACAACCATAACCATCTGCACCGTAGGCGTGCCACTCCCAAAACAGCAGCACAAGATCATCGAGCCACACTTTTACTCGGCTGCTTTTCTTGCCGGCCTCAGAACATATTTCCACGTCGTGCCAAAATGCCAGCGTTTCTCCTCGACGACCTCCAAGCCACTCTCCCTCACGATCTGGCCGATATCGCGATTCCACCAACACCCATGCCGATCCGCATGGGCGGGGGCCAGATTATCGAGCACGCGATTCAACCACGCATAATGCGAGCGACCGTGCTCCAACAACAGAATCTCGCCCCTCTGCGGATCCACCAGCGTCCCCAGATGCTTCAGCGTGCCCACGGGGTCCGGCAACGAGCACAACCCCATCGTCTGCACCACCGTATCGAAGTATGGTTTGGGTTGGCCCGCGACGGCCGCCCCGGTAATCTCCCGACCGGGGCCGCCCGCGACGGCCGCGGCATCCTCCACCCGAAACTCCACCCTTTTGCGGAGGGCCTCATCCCCAGGGTAGATTTCCTCGAACTTGCGCCGCGCCATCTCCACCATCTGCGGGCTGAGATCCACAAACGTGACGGAGCGGCAGCCGCGCACGCCCACCGTGCCCGTCCGCTCGTCGACGAGCCCGCGCCGCACCGGCCCGAAGTCGTAGTACTCGATGTTCCGCCCCGTGCCGCAGCTGACCTCGAGGACGTCGCCGCGCGCGCGGCGGCACAGGTCGCGGCGCTTGGCGCCCAGCCGCATCAGCTTCTCGGACATCTCGACGTCGGCGTCGAAGGTGCGCGCCGTCGTGTTGTAGCGGTCCGTGACGTTGGCGGTGGCGGGCACCGTGGCGGACAGGTTCTGCGAGTACGTCACTTCGCGGCGGTACGAGGCGTACAGGTACCCGATGTAGGCGCTCAGGCCGAGCGCGCTGACGCCGAGCACGGTCATCACGCGCGGGCTCATGCGTGTCGTTGTGGACGGCGGGTGGTGGTGGAAGTCGGTTAGCGTGGGGTGCGCGCGTTTGGAGAGTGCCGGGGTGTATTCTGGGTGACTTTTGGGGATGGTGGGTTAGTTTGGGGGTCCCTTTTGGGAGTGGAGAATGGGGTACTGGGATTGTTTACACTGGGGCTGCAGCTTTCAGCTTGTTCTTCTTCGCGCCGGTACGGGGTGCAGCGTTGGCGGGCTTTGCTGCTGCTGCTGCTGCTGCTGCTGCTCCCTTAGCGGATTTGAGCGTCGCTCGGCCTATCCGTGAGGCGCTCATGGTTGTGAGGGTATCTTGTTATGTGATGAGAATGTAGGGCCCAAGGAAAGGGGGAATGGTGTCGTGGTTCACGCCATTAGGGGGGGGGGGGTCGCCGACCGGGTGGAAGGTCAGGTCCGGAGAAGTTGCGTCGTGGTGGTGGTTGGTGTTCGGGGAGAAATTGAGAGATACGCGGGCCGGAGCCAAGAGACCGACCGCCCGCCAGTTGTTGGTAAGTTGGTCTTCGCCGAATGTCAACCCGTCTAGTGTGGCGGCTCAACTGCCACCATCGCTCAACTTCAAGTTTACACGAACAATATCACGATTACGGAAGAGACCTGATAACATTCGGTCTTCTTGCTTTAGATCGTTTCTTTCTTGTTTTTTGTCCTCTTTGCTGAAATGCTGAAACCGCTCGAACCTTGTGGCCCTTGCTTGGCATATTCGCATCAAAGACAAGTTCTTGTGCTTTGTCTCCGATGGCTGTCTCTTTCAAGCTGTCTCCGCTGATGGGATGAGGCTAATTTCAGTTCTGGCTAGAGCATGGCAGCGAATCTCTTTGAAGAGCCAACTTTCGATTCCTCAGGAAAGAGACTATGGAAATACGGATACACGTGGCTAAGAAATCACAGACACACCGGCTCTCTACCCGTGCGAAAGGGGATACGTAACAGCATGCCAAAGTGCATATTGACCCGTCGGATCTTCCCTGAAGCACATGCATTCAGTGCGCTATCTGACAGACAAGATATGAAGCGCTTGCTATCGCCACGTGGTCGATCGTTCGATACTTCGCCTTATCACGGCTCCATCGCTGTTATACCTCAGTGACGGAGTTCCGGTGAACGGGCTGAAGACAGCTGATGTCCCTGTTTCTGACCCTTGGCCTCCCGTTAGTTGAGATAGCCAGAAAGCCGTCCCCTACAGTCTTGATTTATCAGCGGCCAGGATGACTCCGCGGTTCGCGGGTCCAGGTCCCTCATCCGAGTGGTCTGGCCCTGACGCCAGCAGAAATGCATCTGATTCGCGCCGAAACAGAGTTCGGGATAAGGCTGGATCAAGCCCCTGAGCGAGAAAGCTCGCCATTCTGAATCGAGGTTCGAATTAGGTCATTATGGGTAAGATGTCCAGGCACGGTGGACAACGCAAATTCTAGCGCGGCCGGCTATAGATCAAAAACACTGCATTTTCATATCCGTGGACCATCGGAACCATGATAAGCAACGCCTTCTGTGGACCAATCCTCCAGATTGGCCAATGAGCTAATCAGAAAGCTCGTCGGTGGAACTGGGCGGCTTTACGGATATCGGCTTTACGGATCTGCGGATATGTGCACTGGCAGTAATTGCGTATCGTATATGCCACGCAGGAATCCAAATCATAATAAAAGAGTCTGAGCTTCCTCGAGCTGTCCGAAGGTAGCTTCAGATGCATCTCTGGATCTGAATGAGTGTTTCTTTAGGCTGAAGCTTCATGGACTGTGATTCTTAGGTATGGACTTTCCAGTCAGAACTATGGCGGATATACTGACCGGGACACTCAAGCACGCATAGCTACGATCTGATCGGACCTATCAGCAAACATGGACACATCTTCATCCTCAGCAACGGTCGACATGGAGTCCGGGGCCTCCGATATTCGGAAGCGCCTGACGCTCACATTCCGCAATGTCAGCGTGAACGTTACCGCGCCTGATGCGGCCCTGGGAGAAACACTACTGTCGGTGGCCGACCCGCGACAAATCACCAGCTGGTTCCAGAAGAGCCGGCGGCCCAAGCGGACGATCTTGAAGGAGATCACTGGCCAAGTTCGACCAGGGGAGATGCTCTTCGTTCTCGGCCGTCCCGGTTCCGGCTGTACTTCTTTTCTTCGAGTGTTGTCGAACGATCGCGGTGCCTTCGACGAGGTCGTGGGCGAGACCCGTTACGGAAGTATGGACCACAAGCAGGCAAAGAAGTATCGCCAACAGATCATGTTCAACAACGAGGACGATGTGCACTTCCCCACGCTAACGGTCAATCGAACGATGAAATTTGCTCTGCGGAATAAGGTACCTCGGGAACGACCTGAACATCTGCAGGACAGGAATGCGTACGTGCAAGAGAAGCGAGATGACATCCTGGGCTCCTTGGGCATTCCGCACACGAAGAAGACCCTGGTCGGCAACGAGTTCATTCGAGGTGTCTCCGGTGGCGAACGGAAACGGGTGTCATTGGCGGAGATGATGGCTGGTCAGGTATGGTCATGAATGTATCGCAACTTCGTGGATCTATTGCTAAGTATTACTCATCTGCAGAGCCCTGTTCAGTTCTGGGATAATCCAACTCGCGGCTTGGATTCAAAGACGGCAGTGGAATTTGCTCGCATGCTCCGACGCGAGGCAGACCAGAACGAGAAGACGATCGTGGCTACCATGTACCAGGCGGGCAACGGCATCTACGACCAGTTTGATAAGGTATTGGTGTTGGCAGATGGTATGGTGACCTACTACGGTCCGCGGGCGATGGCCAGAGCTTATTTTGAGGACATGGGCTTCGTCTGTCCCCGGGGTGCCAATATCGCCGATTTTCTTACCTCCGTCACCGTGACCACGGAGCGTATCGTGGCCCCGGGAATGGAAGAGAAGGTGCCCAATACTGCAGCTGAATTCGAGGCCTACTACCGCCGGAGTTCAATTTGCTCTCAGATGCTCGAGGACATCGAGCCACCAGAGAAGCTGGTTGACGAAGAGATCAACTTGGCCAATGCAGTGCTGATGGAGAAGAGAAAGCAGCATCTCCCTCGGCCGCAGAGCGTCTACACGGCGGGTCTCTGGCACCAAGTCGCCAGCTGCACAGTTCGGTGAGTGAAGTCGAACGATTGAACCTTGATTAGCTACTGACATTAGTTCAGTCAGTTCCAAATTTTGGCCGGTGATAAGCTATCTGTTATTATCAAGGTGGTATCTGCTATTCTTCAAGCTCTTGTCTGTGGTAGTCTGTTTTACAACCTCAAGCTTGACAGCTCTTCCATATTTTTGCGACCAGGTGCTCTCTTCTTCGCAGTTCTCTATTTCCTTCTAGATGCCATGTCGGAAACAACCGCGTCTTTCACGGGTCGGCCGATTCTCTCGCGCCAAAAGAGATTTGGTTTTTACAGGCCAACAGCCTTCGCGATCGCCAACGCCATCACCGATGTTCCTATTGTCTTGGTGCAGGTCTCGTGCTTCTCGTTGATTCTGTACTTCATGGCTGCATTGCGGATGGATGCTGGCCGCTTCTTTACTTACTGGATCATCGTCGTTATTCAAACGCTGTGCTTCCTGCAGATGTTCCGAGCAATTGGTGCTCTCTGTAAGAAGTTCGGTAACGCGTCGAAGATGACTGGGTTTGTTTCGACAGTATTTTTCGTCTACGGAGGTACGCAGTGGAAGCTCGCGTTCGATGAACCAAGCTAACTAAGACGCAGGCTATCTCATTCCCTTCAAGCAGATGCACGTCTGGTTCCGCTGGATCTTCTACCTCAATCCAGGT